AGAATTCAATACATGGTACATCATGGAGCTCGATGGTACTTTTCCCCCACTCTGTCACTTTCCTAATAGTTCTTAAAACCTCTGTGATCACTGAACATTCAGCTTGTTTATTTATAAATTCATATATTTTTTAAAATCTTGTTCATGCATAGCAGAGCATGAAATTTAATTCCCTTCCAGGAAGAAGTCAGTTGACACCAAGATGACATAAACCTGTATGGTGTTGAGATTTACACTGGCTATATCTACATTAACTGCCTTCCAGAATAACAGCAGATGCTGTTGGTTTTTTTGGGTACTTGACTTTGCTGGTAATTGTAGATTTCATTAAAATGAGACAAGTTCTCGACAGAATGTAATTACTTATCTTTTGATGCTGCCAATACTTAATGCAGAAATATTAACTTAGTTGTTGAGAAACTCAACTAGTAATAAAGTTCCATAGCGGTATTCTATCCAGATTCTGGTAGGCTGAAGGTATTCCTATACTCTGTGTTGGCCAACATCTGCTTCCGTGTTGCAATCCAGTCTTGTGTTAAAACACTAAGCTGGCAAATGGTGGAACTACAAACATACTCACCCCTTGAGGTTCACGTAAGCTGCTTCCTCAGCTTTACTAAAACCTTTTATCTGTCTCTCAGGTCTACAAACAAGAACAAGAGGAGGAGCTAAAGAAGAAGATGGCCATGGATCCCCGATGGAAGAGATATCGGCGGTGGATGAAAAATGAAGGACCTGGAAGACTGACTTTTATTGATGATTGAAAGTTGCTGAAAAAAATATGTGCTAATGTTGAAAGTGATGTACAGAACTTTTCACTACATCATTCAGAGTTTTGACTGCTGTGGCTCAGCAGTGATCTAAAACTCAGGAATTGTTAAATCAGGCGGAAACATAATACAGGTTTATGATTTTTATAAATCAGACCTATTAAACAGGCTCAGCTCAATGTATATATGCCATTTACTTGGGGATCTCAGTGTGGAATTGATTATTCCAAACAATGTGTCTTCTGTATATATTTCATATTCATGATCAGTGGAACTGTAAATTTAGTCTTTCTCAAAATGCTCCTATATCAGCCCTTACAAGTCCTGTTCTTACTCTTTAAACTGAAGGATTCCTGCAAAAGGACACTGGAAATGCTTACAAAGGATTCTGAAGGAAGGGCCATTTTCGTAGAACCATACAACAGTTAGGGTTGGAAAGGACCTCAAGATCATCTAGTTCCACCCCCCCGCCATGGGCAGGGACACCTGTCCTGGGTTTAGCAGTAGCAGTCAGCCCGTGGGAGTTGCATTCTTTTCGATTCTCCTCTCCGTCCCTCCGGGAGTAGGGGAGGGCAAGAAGGGGGGGGGGGGGGGAGTGACAAGCTGTCTGGCTGGGTTTAAACCACAACACCTCCTACTAAACCATGTCACCCAAGGCTCTGTCCAACCTGGCTTTGAACACTGCCAGGGATGGAGCTTTCACAGCTCGTGTGGGCAACCCATTCCAGTGCCTCACCACCCTTACAGTAAAGAACTTCTCCCTTATATCCAATCTAAATTTCCCCTGTTTAAGTTTGAACCCGTTACCCCTTGTCATATCACTGCAGTCCCTAATGAAGAGTCCCTCCCCAGCATCCTTATAGGCCCCCTTGAGATACTGGAAGGGTGCTATGAGGTCTCTTAGAAATTATTCCTCTCTCTTTCTCCGTATTTTTAAAGCTAATTTCTAAGGTGCCAAATTGTTTCTGATGTAGACAATATGGGGATTATACCAGACTACTTTTGCTGTTCCTGTTTCAGTTGGAAAGGAATTTTATTTTTTGTGGGAATAAATGATGCATGATTGATCATGATCATGATGCAGACAAGCCTTAATTCTTTGTTCTACAGAGTGATTCATGATACGGTATGCTTAGATCTTTTGCACCTGGTTTTTCATCTTCTCGTTCGATTATACCTGCTTGTTCAGAACAAGTATATCAGTGAATATTAGTCTACTAAATGTGATATTTCTTTCACCAAAGTATTGGTAAAAGGGAAGATGACCCTTTTTTTTAAAAGGGCAATTTTGATGCCTTATGTAAATAAAAGTTTATATAATATATGTACTGAATTTGTTTCAAATCTAAGGTATTCTTTATCTATTCTGGTCAGAACTCAAGAGTACTTAGAATAAATTATGCACAACAGTATGCTGTTTTTCCTCCGTAACTCAGCCCAGATCTGTTTCCATGATTTGCTTGTAAAGAAGTTCTGTTGCCATATTACTGTTCGAGAATTTTACTGGGGAAGGCACAGGTGGGTGCCATAACCATACTGGACTTTTCCTGTTCTTTATCACATCTATAAAAGCAAGTTCCTCAGAAGTGTTTCTACTGAAAAGGATGCTGTTAGCTAGCTTCTGTGGAGATCATTTCTGGGAGATCAGCTCTTGAACTTGCTACTCCTGCCAAAGCCTGTAATAGCTAAAAGTTTTCAAATCCTTATTGATTAATTCTTGAAGCAAGTTGTTTCTGGTTCTGCAAAGGTGATTTGCTCTCATTCTTTGAGGAAGAGTTTCTGTCTTCCATGCTTCTTTTGCTAGTTGAGCTTTCACTAGTTCTTGGAATGTCATACCAGTTTTCCGCTCAAAATTTCCAAAAGCATGTTGGAAGTATTACGCTAAATGGGTAGCTTGTGTGTGCATTAGTAAAACTGGAGAGGAACTGACAGATTTGTCCTTCAGCTTTGCTGCACATAGTGTAGCCATAAGTGTTACTCACTTTGTATTTAATTGTCTATTTAAATCCAAACTTCAAATACCTGTTAAAAAAGGTATCCAGAAAAAGCTGTGCTTGCTTTCATGAAGTGACCATGGGGACACTGTAAAGATGTTCCTGGAGTGAGAGACCTTCACAGCTTCATCCCCCAAACCAGAATCAGCCTTCTGTGAGAGTGGAAGGAGGAAGATTAAGTTGCTGTGGTAGAAATAAAGAGAATAAAGGTAATCACAAGTAAAATGGTGTTGATTATTAGGTAAGACAGTTATATCTGGAAAAGAACCACGCAAGTCATGCAAGAGGATCTAAACCTGTGGCCACAGTTTCACAGGCTCTGCTGCTCTTGCCTTTATGCCTCATTTTGCTCCATTCCTTCCCTTCTAAGCCAAGTGTTTGGGTTATGCAGATAAGCAGTTAAAGCAGAGATCTGTTTTCTCTCCTTGCTGATGTTAGTTCTAATCAAAATTTATTTTCCTGATCTGACACCACAGTGGGAAATGGATGTGTTGGAGGGGCTGTATGGCCTGCTGGAAATGAGCCATCCTGCAGGCTTAGCTTGGAGTTCCCTCTTTTCTTGATGTATAGCCCTTTGAAAATAAGCAGATGCAGGCATAAATTCATGGGTTGCAGCAAAAATGTGCAGGGCGGTGACACTGCAGTCACATCTCTGTGATGAATGATAGAGAAAAACCCATGTGTCTTTACAAAGCTGTCAGCATTGAGTGACACTCATTAGCTGAGGTCACTGATCATATCTAGCCTAACACCTCACTGTAGTTCTAAATCATGCCCATCTTCTGGGCATAAGTTTTCAGGCCCTATTTTATCCTGGAATAAAGTTGACAAAGTAATTACATGCACATGGGAAAAAAACCCAAATAAAGCAGAAATGAGGCTGCTGAGGATTACTATACCTCGTAAAGCCAGCGTAGATTGAGATGACTTCAGGGAGAAGTCTTTGCATGAGCAAGTATTGCTGGTACTGGGTAGCAGTGTGGCGAGGCCATAGAGTCTTGGAGAAGAACCACCTTACCTCCTAAATCTACTAAAATCCACTGTTTTCAAAGAGTTGTATCTGTTGTGCAGCATGTATTTACTTCCAAATTCATAGTGTACGTAAGGTGAAACATACATTTCACTTGGTATGCAAAAGGTATTCAGAGCAAAGGCCTTTCAAACTGGGGCTTTGCATGAGGCTCAAGCATGTCCATGGTTGGTCATCCCTATGTTCAGAGCAGTCTTTTGAGGCTTTGATCTTTATCCCACCAACTTTTTAACAGGCCAACAGGCCAGCAAGCTCTGATGGCTGGCAAATGCCCTTCAAAAAGTGAAGGGACTCATTGGTGGCCACAACTGAAATGATGATGAATAGCGCAGATGGCGGATGCAGCTATGCTGCAAGCAGTTTTATCCTACCGGCTACCTGTATGCAAAGTGGGCTTTTCTTTGCAGGGTTAGATCTTTGAATGATATTCAGAACACCTTTTTCTCTCTTTCTTCCCCTCCCTTTTCCTTTTCCCCCCTTTTTCCTCTATTTTTGGCCTTCCTCCCCTTTTTTGCTTTTTTTTTGTCCCTTTTCCCCCTTCCTCCTTTTTTTGCCTTTTTTCTTCCTTCCCCCCCTTTCCTCCCTTTTTGCTTTTTTTTCTCCCTTTTCCCTGCATATTTTGCCCCTTTTCTCCCCTTTTTTACACTTTTCCACTTCTCCTCCTTTACCCCTTTTTTATTTCCCCCTTTCCCCTTTTTTTCATCTTTGCCTTCTTTACCCCCCTTTTCTTCCCTTCCCCTTTTCCTCACTTTTTTTGTATTTTTGCCCTTCCCCCTAATTTTTTCTCCCTTTTCCCCATTTTTTCTTTGCTTTCCCCAGTTTTTTTGCCCCTTTTTGTTTTTCCTGCCTTCCCCTCTCGTCCCCTTTTTCTCTTTTCCCCTCTTTTCCCCTTTTTTCGTCTTTCTTTACTCCCTTTTTTCCCCTTTTTCTTCCCCTTCCCCTCTTTTCCCCCAGTTTTTCCCCTCCCCCTTTTCGTCCCCGGTTTGTTTTATTTTCTCTGTCCTCTCCTGTTTAACCAACACGCTTTCCTACCCTCGGGGCACGCAGTCCCGCACCCGAGGCCGCCGCCAGGCGCCGCGGGCGATCGGGCCGGGACTCGCCAGCAGGGGCCGATCCGGGGCAGGGAGGGGAATGAGGGCGGAGCGGGCCCGGCCTGGCCCTGCCCGGCCCCTCCCCGGAGCGGCTCGGGGGCGGCGGGGGGAGCCGAGCCGATCCGATCCGAGCCGTGCGGAGGCGCTCTGCCTGCCTCTGTCCGTGCATCCCCCCGCGCTCCGGCCATGTCGTCGGGCGGCAGCCTGAGCACCATGCAGCGGCTGGTGGAGCAGCTGAAGCTGGAGGCGGCCGTGGAGAGGATCAAGGTGAGGCGGAGGGCGGCTCACCCGGGGATCAGCAGCTCCTGCCGCTGTCCGCCCGCGCCGCCGCCCAGGGGGCGAGTCGGGGGGAAGGGGCCGGGGGTGCGAGTGCCCAGGTGGCGGATACGGGTGGAAGGAGCTGCGGGGAGAGAAGCGGCAGCACCGCGTTAATTCCGCACAAGGAGCTAGTGTCTGGAGGGGCTTGCGGGGGGAGGCGGTGTGGTCTGTGCCCCCGACAGGCCTGGGAGCGCAGGCGGGTTCATACGCACGCAGGCACGCATGCATGGACTTTCTCCTGCCTAAGGATTTCCAGACAAAGCCAGGCTAGCAAGGAGCGCCCGTCATCTGCCACCTCCTAAGGCTTGGCTTCGTGGGGTTGGTTTGGCGGATTTTTGTTGTTTATTTTGCCCGTGGGATTTTGGTTGGTTGGTTACTCGGTTGGGGGTTATTTTGTTCGTTTGTCTTTTGGGTTTTTTTTCCCCGTCAGTCCAAATTCACCCATGCAAATTCATACCACGTCCAAGACAGCTCTGGGGTAGGGAGAGGGAGAGGGGTGCCCACAACCACTTTGCAGGAAGGATTCTTTCCAGCCACGCACAACATCCACCACAGGCTGTGAAGGGATTGAAGGTCAAACTAATTTGTATCCTGCACTTCCCTCATCACGTCCATGCATTCGCCATTTTCCGCTGGCCAGTCACAAGCATCAGCTTCCTCAGTCTGACTGCAGTGGCAGTCTGTTGACCTGCGGAAGCTTAGTTAATTGATTTAAAAAATAGCTCGGAACACCCTATCCCACTGTTGCTGTCCTGGGCTGCTGCAAACGTGAAGTTCCCATTGCAAGGTGAAACCACTTGGGTTTTGGACATCATCCCAATCAGTTCATTATTGTTGCTAAATCCTGTGAGCGACTACTGAGTCGTCAGATGTTTGATCGGCTGAAAGTGACCGTAGTTCGCCGATGCGGTGACCTGCGGAAATCTGTGAGAACAGCACAATGGAGAGCAAATGTGTAGGCTCTTGGGGCGAGAGGGACATTGTCTAACACAGGAGTGATTGATGAAACATTTCTGTTGCTTTACACTGCCAGCAGTAACCTGGATCTCTGCCCCTGCTCATTTTTAGGCACATACCCCCTCCCTGCTTCCTCTGTGGGCAGGGAGGGTATATAAAAACGTGGTGTGTAGTTTATTGGGCATTATTTTGTGGCAGTAACATTCTGGAGCTGCATTTCTCAAATATGAATCTCAGACTTGCTGTGGGTTTGCTTGTATTCTGAGGAGCCTTGGCCTTGATGAGACCACGCAGCCATGTGCACAGAAGTCTCCTTCCAGGTCTGCTGCTCCAGGATCTTCTTCATGTCTGTTGCACAAGTGAAATGATGCACAATTAAAACTACGTCTTATACAAAGTGTCATCTTGGTTTCTTGACATTCTGTGTAAAACCAGCAGGGGGTACATGCAGCTGGAGAAGAGCCACTTGGATCAAGTTTAGCAGATGCTGAGACAGGAGAAAATGTTTGGCTCCTGTGAACAGACAAATGTGTTTTCTGATGGAAGCTGGGTATGAAAGGGTTTTTTAAAATACATCCCATAGCACAGAATCGCAGTGGTGATTCTGTTTGCCCTGCCAGCTAAAAGACCAGGCAGGAAGAGCTTTTCCAGAAAGAGGAAACCAAGTGGGAAAGAAGTACCCACACACATCTTGCAGGCTGCTGCAGGGAGCGTGTTCACCCATGATTAAATACATCAGAAACCCTCATACTTTCTGTGTATGCATTTCTGTAAGAATGCTACAGGGGCATAGGTAGGGCTGAGAGTAGGCGGATCTGTCCTAGAACAACAGTTTGCTGCTGTATGGATAATCCTCCCAGGGATGCCAAACCTCAGGTTTGTGTGTTTGCAGGAGCACCAGGATATGCATAGCTCAGTGCGTCTTGCAGAGCTGGGCAGCAAAGTGCAAGGAGACACAGTGAGGAACTGCTAACTCTGCTATGCTCACAGGGCAAGGCATGCCCTGAACAACTGCTTATCTTCCCAGGAAAAAAGCCCCATGCAGCCTTGGCCTGATAAGGCAAGCAGCATCTCTGCCTAGTAGCCATGTGGTCCATAGTCAGGTACCAGCAAGGGGTCAGTGCTGTGGCCAAGGGAAGGGTGCTAATGCTGTGTGGGTTGAAGGGGCTGGGCAGAGCACAGAGACCTTTGCATCCTCCAGAAAAAGGTTCTCTCTCTCAGTGGACAAAGCCCATTGATTAGCAGGGATCCTTGCTGCAGGTACTTATGCCTGTGCTCCAAGAGTACAAAAGAACTTGGGAGGCTGTGGGAAAATGCTTCTCTTAACAACTCCCTGGAATGCTGACAGGCAGTTACCAGGATGAGTATCCTGGAGGAGACTTGGGAGGCAGTGAACAGGAAAGCAGCAAAAAAAGCAAATGAAATCATGTGCTGGGACAGATTTTCTCACATGCTTCCAGACATTCTAAGAACCAAGATCCCATCTGGGTTCCTGGGCTTGTCCCACAGCGTTGAACTGTGCTCTCTGGGGCCGGAGTGTGGATTTGAAGCTCTCGCTTCATTGCCAGGGGAAGGTGGCAGTTTGGATTTTAGAAACTTTTCATCCTTTTCACTTTCTTTCCTTTTATGCTCTGTGTTGTTGACAGTTTGGGAATGAAAACCCTTTTAATAAATTAACTCAGGACATATGAGTTCAAATATAAACCTGTAAACAGTACAGTAGATTCGAAAACATTGTGGTCACAGCCCTGTGCATTTTAATGAGGACAGATTGCATTGCACTTTCACCTCTGTCCTCTACACTGCTCTGGCTCATCAAATGGCACAGTATTTCATGTGTGTTTATTTGGAGCTTTGTAAATTTGCATCTGTGCTGATGTATTTGCTGGTTTAGAATCCAAGAGCTGGCTTGGCTGCTCTCCAGCTCTGTTTGATAATGGCAGTTCAAGAGGAAATGCCTAATAGATGCTTGTGAATGAATTAGTTTCCTTTCTGGATTTGTTTCTCTTTTCCCTTTACGCAGGTTTCTCAGGCAGCTGCAGAACTCCAGCAGTACTGTATGCAAAATGCCTGCAAAGATGCCTTGCTTGTTGGGGTTCCTGCGGGGAGCAATCCCTTTCGAGAACCCCGATCCTGCACTCTACTCTGAAATCAGGTAATAAAGTCACAGATACCACAACAAGAACTCGGATTTGAAACCCAAGCCCTCGGAAGGACAAGGGCATGTGTTGATAATTGTTTTAATGTCAAATTCTGGGTAGCCAAGTGTCATCACTTCACTGCTACTCTACACATTGTTTTCTGTTCCTGTGAGGTGTGACAATGGAAGCATGTCTCTCCTACAGCTCTTTCTAGAGGTGTTTTGTTTGTAAGTTGGGGTTTTTTTTGTTTGATCTGTTTTTGTGCTTGAGCAGCTCTAGGGTCATTAGCAGCAGCCAAAATAATAGAGCTGCCTCTGACATGCTGACACAGCCAGATGTACAAGCCAGTCACATACTCAGCTTGAAGAAGGTAGACAAAGCCATGACAGATGCATGTATTCTGATGACTAACTTGCAGCTTGAGCAAGAACCTTGTTAGAATACATGCTGTCTTCAAAGTCATACTGCAGTTCATTTGGCTGAGTGTGTCCTTGGGCTCTTTCTGTTGTTACTGAACAACTGTATATTGGTACAGCACCAAAAGTGGTGGAAGCCAAGAGGAGCTGAAGCAGTCTGTAATCACGCTCTTTATAACCTTTTTCAGCACAGATCTGAAGGATGAGATACTCCCTAAACTTTGCCTGCCCTAGCACTCTGCACTGCTTGTAGCTGTGGATCACTGGCCGGCTGGATGGGTGACTGTCCAGCACTGGCAATTCTTTGGGATCCAGTTCTGTGATTCCCACTGTTATCTCTCCCATGTGTATCAGTGATTGCAGCAGGAGGAAGGGAGGTCATGTGTGCTTGTGGTCTTAGGCAGGATGACACCAAAGTTTTGTTGGAGAAACTTATTTCTTTTGCATGACAAACAAAGGTGGAAGTAGGATGGTCAGAAGGGGTTACTCTTCAAAATTAAAAATAGAATAGTTCCTGATAGCTGAGAAAACTACAGGGAGAGGAAGAACCACTGAATTATGTTCTTTCTTTGAGAGCACTATCAAAATGAAAATGAATGGGGTTTTAAGAGCAGAATTTAAACTGGAATGTGAAGTACTTACAGAATCTCCCCCTTCCTGTGCCAGGGTTCCTGAGATTGCAGCTTTGCTTGTGCCTCATCAGTAGTGTGCTTTGATTGTTGCTAGGTAGGTTTGACAACACAGGACTGAACCTGAAAGGGAAGAAAAGTGAGCATGAGATGGTCTTCCGGAAAAACTTGGGCGGGGGGTGAAGCACCAGCAGAGTATTTTCTTAACTTAGGTGCTACCCTTAATTCTTCCTGCAAATAAGATGAAGTTGGCAGTGACCGTTGGATGTGTTACTGTGCTGTCAAAGCAGCCTTTTGCTTCTTATTTCTTGTGTCTCTCTGTGTGTATAGATGTATTTCTAGGATTCAAGTTCGGTTGCATCATCCAGACAGGATACAAAACACTTTCTCAAACAAGTTGGATGGTAAATTTGTGATATTTTTTATCTACTTTTCCAGAAAAGCACAGCTCAGGCCAGGATGTCATTTAGTAGCCTTTTGTTGATAGATCAGTTATCTAGTTTTTTATTTAGTTACCTTAGGATCAAAAACAATGAAACCAAAGTCAAAAACCCAACTAAAAAAATTCAGAAGTATTCAGGATGTCAATACCCAACAAGGAAAAGGGGTTATTCAGTTTTTCTCAGTGCAAAGTAGTTTTTGTGCTATGATTTGTAAGAGAAATGTGTCAGCTTGGAAAACAGCATTTTTAATAGATTTACTTTTCCTCTTACAGGGAAAGTCATCAGAGAGTTGCCTTCAAGCATGACATGATTAACAACTGCCTTTCTTTCACAAGAAGAGTCTCTCTCTGTCCTAACTTGTATGGCTAAAACAGTTTCCTAAATGTTTATCTGTTTGTTTTCTTGTGTACCAGAACTTCACTGTCTTTTGCTAAGGTTCATAAAGTTTTCTAATGTAACTGTTACTCTCTTCAGAATTGTCACAATTGTTGCTACACTGTGCTAACTATGCAAATACTACTTGAGAAGTTTACATTTTAGAAAAGACCTGGATATTTACTAAATTACTATCTCGGTAAACTGTTACACTGAAATGAGAATAGAAATTATTTGGGATTTGCATCCTTTTTTTTTCTTTTTCTTTTTTTTTTTTCTTTTTCCCCCAATAAAACATTCAGAAAGTGAATTTTTAAAGTATAAAACTAAATGCTGTTAGTACTGAAGTAATGCTCCCAGCAGAATTTTGCTTCTATTAGTAAACTGGAACCAACTACAGTTCTTTTTCAAGTGCATCTAAGTCCATAAATGACACATATTAGAAACTTCTGGACACAGTGTGTAGCACAGTCTTGATTCCTAAGGCTTCTTTCTTACAAGACTTCTAATCTGTAACGCTCTCCTAATTAGTTGTAGTAAAGGTACTGTTGTGGTGGAATATCCTTGACATGTATAAATTGTGACCAAACAGACACGAAAAACCTGTGAACACCCAAAGATAGTTGTACGTGTAATTGTCAAGGTTTACAGCACGCAAAAATACTAAAATGTGCTTGGTCATTTGCCTTCATTTTTTTATAGAGCACTTTTAAAAGGACAACTAACTTTTTTTAATAGGTTTGTAATGTTGACTACTTTTTATTGTTTGTATTAATCTTTTCAAAGTTTGGAAATAAAATTCCTTTCCCTACTTTCCCGGGCTTTGAACTCATTGTTTAATTGTAACAAAGAGAAGATATTGTAAGGAAGAGGATACTTTGATTCTGCAGTGGGAGGGGAGGCCTCACGCTATTTGGCAAAAGGTTTTCATGCTTGCTGTCCTGCAGGAAGGCAGTGAAATGTGGGTTGTAAAACTGCCAGTGTGTGTTTTGCCACTAAATGCAGAGAACATCCTTCCTTAAGGGCTTTTCTTTACTCTTGCTTCATTTCTTTGTAGGCTATTTGAACAGGGCAGGTTTGCTTTCAGTACTTCGGGCATTCATTCACTGCAGAAGCCTGCAGGAAGCCTGGTTGTTCTTACTTGCACATAACTGGTCAGACACTCGGATTGCGGTCAGAATGTACAAGTCAGGGAGGGTGTAGAGGGATGAGAATATGCATTAAATGCCTGCTAACAGCCATCAGCTGGCTGCTGGCCACTCCCTCCCATGCAAACCCTTCGTATTTCTTTCACCTCCCACAGTGAAACCTTCTCCCTGTCCCCACACAGAATCATAGAGTAGTTTGGGTTGGAAAGGACCTTAAGATCATCAAGTTCCAACCCCCCCTGCCATGGGCAGGGACACCTCGCTCTAAACCAGGCTCCCTCGCAGCATACACTTCCCTGCTTAGTGTCCTTGCTTGAAGCTTGGGCTCTGGAGTGGCTGCTGAGCTGGCATAACAAACTGCCAAATTACAGTGTGCACAAGAAAGCAGCTGCTGCCACACAGCCACGACCGCTGTCTCTTGGTTGCCCTGCCCAGCCCCGTGTGGTACTTTTCCATTGGAGCACCACAGTCCACAGGTGCTGCAGGAGCAGCGCTGAGTATTCTGCAGGCCCTGACTGCATCCACACCCTGCACCAGCAGTGGGTAGAAACACCATGCATCAGCTGCAAGATGGACTAGGAGCACTCCACTGTGGTGTACCAGCAAGTGGGGTGGTTACTCTGTAGTCTCAGGAGGAAAACACATTCCAGTCTCTTCAGAGGAGTGTGCTCCTTTACTCAGCTTGATTTGAGTTGCAGGATACAAGCAGGGAGAGGGATGATAGCAATGCCACCTCTGCCCTCCCAAGGCATGGTCTATGACAAAAGTCAGGTGTCAGACCGAGCTCCACAGCAGGGTTAGTTGGTCTTGAGGCTCTTGGGTTCCTGTAGGGAGTCAGTTTTACTAAGCATGCCACTGCTGGTGATGTTGTATCGGTGGAATGAAGCAGCTTGTGTTTTATCAGCTCAGCTTTTGCAGGTCCCTTTTTTCCCTTTCAGGAACCTGACAAGCCTGGGCAGATGTCTGCTGCTGCAGGCAGAACGGGGTCTCTCTTACCTGCCTCCTCAACAGGACAATGTCTCATCTCCAGCTACAGTTATGTTTGCACTCTTCTTTGCAAAACTGACAGCTGGGGTGGTTTGGACAGGGACAAGCATCATCTTTTGCTGCCCCTGCTTTAATAGATGCCACCTACAGTGGGATAGGCAGCTCTGGACATGTAACAATGTCTTGGCTTTCTTTCCCAAAGACCATCCACGGGGGCTGACTGCTTAGGTTTTAACACTCCACACAGCACACAGAGGCCTTCATACTAGGTTTCATGGCAGCAGGTCCCACAGGATGCCCACAATAAAGCACATCAAGTGAGTGCACACTGTGCACCAAGTGCCTCACATGAGACACAAGGCCCCCTTTGCTGCCACCACCTGCCACAGTCCCTCAGCTCAGCTCTTTCCCACCTACAGCTGCTACCTGCCTCATCACTGAGCAGTTTCAAATTCGATCCAAGAACTGAGTGTCCTTCCCCACTGATGGAGGACTGCTGGTTAGGAGGTAGTGACTTCCTAATTATTTTTAGTTATAGATAATCTGGGGGAGAAGGGAAGTGCATTTTTACAGTGCAATAATCCTCCATATTAAACAGATGGGAGGAGGGGTGAGAATGGCACCTATGATGAATTTGCTAGTGTGTACGTATCTGTGAGATACCAAGAGTCATAAACAAAGCAAAAATGACTGGTCATTGCAAGCCCTTGCCTCTATTTGCCACTGTGCTGCCAGTAACTAACTGTACACTAACATCTTTTCTACCTAATGGAAACTTAACACAGACAGCACTTCAATTTTCTCTGCTTACTTAACATGGGCAAAATGCCCTTGTTTTTGAAGTGATCTAGAGATCATCCGAGCCAGTCTTTCAAGACTGCCCATGTAAAAGTTCTGGCGTCAGCCTTTGCCTGCGTGAAAGGAGGACATAAATAAATAGTTTGTCAGGGGCAGCTATAATTTTCTGCACCGTGGTTGTCTGTGACTAAGCCTTTGTTGAGTTGCACTACTAAAAGAACACATTCCTGGGCCTGGCAATTTGGGATGCAGCTCTGACAAACAAAGCCAAACCCATGAATCAAAGAGAAGGGAAATGGTTAGGTCAAATGACCACAAAAAATGGACCACAAATAGTAAGCAAACTGCAATTTCCATTTAAGTTTTTTCTCTTATTACGGGAAAAGTAGGGAGACCTTGTTCACAATTATGCTATATTTCTTCTTAAGTTACACTTGAAAGGTGTTTTCGAAAGTGTTGCAAATAATTTGGGTACAAATAGTCTGGAGATATTTGCTGTGAACTAAAATTGCTATTACTGCTGTCATCATAGCTTTTAGGAATTCTCAGCTAAAAATCAGCACTCCATTTGCTCTGAGACCAGAGTTTTCTCCCCTAAATGTTGGTTTTATTTATCCAAGAAGTGAATATGCACTTAATAAAGACTCAAAAAGGCAAGAAAGTATTTTACTAAAAGTATAAACCATAAACTTGTTTCATTTTTCTTTCTGTTACTGCATCAAACTCAGAGAGATTTGCGAATGCTAAAACTGAATCAGCTGCAGGTTGCTGAGCAGGCACTGGAGCTGGCAGGCATGCAGGTGCAAACTGTGCATGCATTCCTGCAGTAGAATGGAGTTACTGTCTACTATTGCTCCCACACATACTTCCTGTTTCATTGCCAAACTTCTGATGGGAAGTGAAGGTTCAGGTACTATTCTACCCTCTCTCTTCTGTAGCTTGCAATTGAGATGCCTTTTTTTTTTACCCCACTCACTAATCTCTTACCTCTTCCAGCTGCAGCCTTCATTATCTGTCAATGCCTCGCAGATGACTCCCATCTCCGTGCTTGCCGACAGAAAGCAAGACTGAAAAATGTGGATGCTAACAAATGGCCTCCACCAGATTATGAGAGAGCTGGGTCACAGCCAAGCTCTCTGAATTAAAACTATCAGAGTTGTAAATCTCAGCATATCTCTTATATAAAACAAATAAAACTGTCCATAAAACAAATAGGTTGTTTCTGTAGCTTAATTATGATAAAAGGCAGTTCATGAACTTATCACATGAGTTCCTAAAGGAGCTGCAGAGGTGAAGAAGTGGAACTGCACCCAAAGGAAAATACAGAGAGTCACAGCTGTGGGTGCAAGAAAGCTCTAAAACCTTATGAGCATCCTTGAGAGTTCAGCGTACCTGGTCTGTCTTTAAACCTGTAAAGCTGCATGCTCAGGGAACAAAAACAGGTGACTTAAAAATTCCATTAGCTTCCGTGTCTGGGTTTTTTTCACCCATATTTTATTTTTTGCATAAAGAGTGATAAAGTAACTTTATATCACCCATGAGAACAGAGAAACAGTAATTCTCCAAGTTCAAGGAACCAGTTTGTTTAGTAAAATTTTTAAAACATACAAAAGAATTCTGAATTAGTAAGGAATCACAAACCCTAATTTCTCTCTAAGAATGAACAAAAAAGTTCAATTCAATCTATTTCCCTTCAAAGACTAAGAATTTTAAAAAGTGTGTGTGGTATACAAATCCCCATTCCATCCCATTCAAAAGAATTTAAGACGTGTTTGTCCATCACTTCTTCCAGGGACTCTTTCATATGTCAGTCTTCGTTTTTTGAACTCTGGTACTTCTGCAAATCCTGAATCTGGAAGGGAAGTGGAAAGAAATTTTATGCATGATAAACTACAAATACAATGTGTATGCAGACTTAACTACATGTTTCTCAGCTCTAATCAGACTTCAGCTCTAATCAGCTCTGTGTGAAAAGTATCAACTGCCGTAAAAGCAAATGTGTACAGATTAACTACTTCTAGATAGTAACTAGACACTACTGCTGATCATTTTTATGCATATCATCCTGTAGTAGTAATATAGGACCTTATGCAGTATAAATACACCAACCCGTGTTATGCTTAACCACAATATTTCACAGTATTTCAACAAAAAAATGAATGCTTACTTCTATTTCATTAATATGACACTCAGTACTATTTAATAATTGTGAAAGTTGTTTCTTTTTAACCAGAGCTA